AGATTGGCACGATTGGCGAAGTATCTCACATTATTGACCTATGGGGCCTGAGCTCGACAGGCCTGGGCGACGTTCAAGACACTTTACTTGTCTCTTTCGTCAACGAGACACGAATATTCAAATTTGACGCAGAAGCTTCGGTTGAAGAAGTGGACGACTTTTATCATCTCGAATTCTCCCAACCCACCCTCCTCGCGGCAAATATTCCCGACCGAAAGCTTGTTCAAGTTTACGAGACGGGTCTCCGTATTACAGATCTTGAATCCGGTATGCTGACGCTGGAATGGAAACCGCCTGACGCGGCGGCGAAGATAACAGTCGCAAGTGCAAACTCCGTCCATCTTCTCCTGGTCGAAGGTGGCCACACTCTCCATGTTTTCCACGCCGCAACAAGGGACGCTAAACCCACCGTTTCAAAGACCTTCCCAACCGACTCGCAAATCTCGGGGGTGACAGTTCCAGACATGCAGAGCAACGTATGTATTGTCTCATTCTGGCAAACTGCCTCCGTTGCTGTCCTTGACCTACACTCGCTCGATGTCCTCCATTCACAACCGGTTGGCACCCCTGGAACAGATATTCCACGATCAGTTCTTGTTGCTAACGTCCTGCCTGACGCCCCTCCGACCTTGTTTGTTGCAATGGCCGATGGCACAGTCCTGTCATATTCGTTTGACCCTTCAAATAATTCTCTGTCCAACATGACGAGGATCTTACTTGGGACAGAACCTGTATTCTTTAAACAACTACCTAGAGACTGCCGCTCAGGACTGTCCAACATATTCGCCTCATGCGAGCAACCTTCCTTGATATATTCCTCTGAAGGTATCATTATTTATTCAGCTGTAAACGCTGATAGTGCATCTCGCGTCTGTAGCTTCAATTCGGAAGCATATCCTGAGGCTATTGCCATAGCGACTCCCAGCGAGCTCAAGCTAGCCTTGATCGGCAAGGAGAGGACAACTCAATTGCAGACGCTTCCCGTTCACGAAACGGTGAGGTGTCTCACCTACGAACTCCAGGCCAAGATATTCGCGATGGGCTGCGTCAGTCGAACCATCGAGGGCGGCGCGGAAATAACAATGAGCTCCGTCAAGATCGCAGATGAAGTGAGCTTCAAGCAATTGGACTCGATAGATCTGCGTGACAACGAGTTGGTAGAGTGTATTATCACAGCAGGCTCTTTCGAGGCAGAGACTGACTACGGGGAGATGTTTGTGGTAGGGACAAGCCTTCTAGAGGAAAGTGAATCTGGTCAGGAGGAATGTCTGAGAGGTCGAATACTAGTTTATGAGGTCAATAAAGAGAAAAAGCTGAAGGAAATTACTCAGATTACGGTCAAGGGAGCCTGTCGAAGTCTGGCCATGTGCGAGGGCCAAATTGTGGCGGGCTTGGTGAAAACGGTGAGTTGGCAGTCCTTCATTGAGGTTGTATAGCTAACGGGCCGTCCAGGTCGTTCTCTACGGCCTCGTGGCCTCATCAACAAGAGGAGACCCATCGCTCAGACTGGAAAAGCTGGCCACCTACCGCACGTCGACAAACCCGCTTTCTCTTGCCATAACGCCCCGCACCGAGCGCTCTGCCCCTATGATCGCCGTCGCAGATCTAATGAAATCCTTGTCCATCCTCCAAATCGTCCGCGATAACTCTTCCGAGACAGGATATGTTTTCCGTGAGATATCCCGTCATTTCGCTACACTCTGGTCGTCGGCCACTTCATGGATAAATGAAAATGAATGGGTTGTTGCCGACATGGAAGGCAACTTAACCATGCTCCGTCAGGGCGACGGGGGTGATGGACTGAACTACGCTAGCCGCCGGCTGGAAGTTACGGGAGAATTCCGCCTGGGGGAGGTTGTCAACAAGATTGTCCCCTTGGCACAATCTCCAGCTCCAGCGCCAGCGAGGGAGAGCAGGAATTACCAGACAACGGGCTCCAAGGAGGCTTACGAGTTTTCAGACTCAGATGATCGGCTTTACGAGGGGTCGAATAAGCAGGTCGCTTCCAAGGTACCCCGAAAAGGGCCGCTGGTTACCCCTCGGGTGTTCCTCGCGACTGTCGAGGGTGCGATATACATGCTGGCCACTATCAATCCAGCTTTTATGAACGTGCTTTTGACATTACAGTCAGCATTGGCAAACCGAGTGCAGGCCCCGGGTTATATGCCCTGGAGTAAATTCCGGGCGTGGAGGACCGAGGTGCTGGAGAAGGATGAGCCCTTCCGAGTAGTGGACGGGGAGATGTTGGAGCAGGCGTTGCTAAGTATGGGTGACGAGGAATTAGAAGGAGTGTTAAGGGAGGGTGGCCTGTTAGAGGAGCAATGGGGAGTGACAGTACACGAGGTGAGGAGGTGGGGGGAAGAGTTGAGGCGGTTGTGTTAGATTGAGGGGCGAAGGCTGTGGGAGAGGGGGCTTCGCGGAGAAAGAGTACGAATGACCTCCGTTTGGAGTTTCATGAGTGCTTGACATTAGCTATGAGCTCGGATGCCTGCTATGAGAATTGGAAAGTCAGGGGACAGGAAGACATGCCAGCATTTCAAGGGTGATTCATGACCGCTGTCAGCGGCAAAAATGCTAGAGAAGTTGTTGCCGGACCCTGTGTCGAGCTGAATGCCCTAGGATACCCCTATCCGCTCCGCTCCACCCCGCCAGGGGCGGGAATCTCTTGGCACCGCATCCCTCACCTCTTTCATGCACCCTTTCATGCGGTCAGCCAGCCCGCGTAACTGGTGGAACAAGACAACACAAATGCCAAGAGGGCAGCCAGGAAAGGGACTCCAAGGGAAATTTTGAGGATACGCTCCCTTAAGGGAAACTGATGAGGGTCTCGGTAAAGTGACAACCATAGAATAAAACAAAGGGAAAAGAAAAAGAGAAAGAATAAACAAGGCCCAGCCGGTTAAGGATTCTTTAGTTAGGGAATCGGGCTTGTTTTTTGTTTGTCCTTTTGTCGTCTATCTACATGTTTTGTCCGTCTACCATCTTCCTAGTGAATGGACTTGCCTGGGTAATGCATTTTTGTAATGGTGGTGTGTCTAGAACAAACACGTGGAATTCGTCTTGAGCCATCGCGTTTAGACTTCTCAACCTGAGGATTACTCTGCCTTTGTGTTTAAGGTCGGTCTGTGGCAAAGTCATGGGCAAGATGGAGCCCCTGTTCAAGCAAAAATCACTTATGGTCGAGGGGGGCCTCGCTTCACTTCACCTCCCTTGGTATGAATGGGGGCTGAATCGATGTAGAATCACCACTGATAGAACTACAATATATTCAAGTATCAAGGTTTGATCTCACTCATCTTGTACTCACATTGTGTGTGCGCGCGTGGGTATGCGTGAGCGCCACACTTCACTTTGATTGCCTAGTGTCAAACATTTCAACAAAGCGCATAGAGGGACAATTCACGTTGTCAGCCACGCGTGTATTATTGTGCAGGTAAGACATTCACCGACTGCTGATTCACTAGCTGCCTAGGTACTGATCAATGTCTTTGGTCCATTGAATGTGCGGCCCGGCCGGCCCACTGTCCATAAAATCTCGAAGCGGTGGTGAATAGAATCGTGTTCCTCTCCTAGCTGTTTCCGCTTTATTTATTGATATACCTCCCCTCCACACCCGCTCATGTGCTTCCTTCCATCCCACTTCCATATAGCCTGCTACCTGGTCCTCGTACATTGTCAGACTCATCTTTGAGCCTTGCCGTTTACAACATCATATCAAAACACATCAACCACCTCGAAATAACTACAGCATGCCACAGTTATCAGCCTTTGCACAACCGGCCGACTATCTCTCTCCGTCAGCTCCCGCGAATCAGCATTGTTTTCGATTTCCTCTGTCCCAAACACAAAATGTGTTACCGTCAAACAATAGAATGGAAATGCGTCGACTGCGGCAAGAAGTCACAGAAAAACTCGACCGAAGTCTCTATCTGTGTCAACATCTTCTGTCGCAAAGTTGAGCCAATGCTGAGACCCCAAATGAGGTTCAGCCCTCAGCCGTGTTGGAGCTGTCAGCCTCGCAAACCTCACAATGGAAATAGGAATGCGAGAGATGGAGGTGCGCATGCCGGGAGCGCAGGCAGATTACGAGTCATGATTGATTCACATGATCGAGTGCCAAACGCTGCTGGCGAACCGGATCGACTGAAATTATAACAGATCACTTCAGGGTTCCGCGAGCACATGCAACAATACACAGAGGCCTGTCCAGCAGGTCGGGAATCGAGAATGCGTGTCTAGTTGGCGCGGACAAGACAACACGACCACCAACACAACCCTGAGAGGCAGCGGCTAGGGCAACGAACGCCTAGCACGACGGAGGCATCGAGGAGCAGGACAGGACTGACAAAACACTCATGAATTAGGTAGACGGCACCAAAAAGCCATGGAATCCATGGTACTCTCCTCAAACTGTAAAGAATGGCACACTACCAGTACTGTAAAGTGCTCCGCACTCCCCCTACCAGCCCATTTTTGGTTTGACATGTGACAAGACAACTCTCCCCCCGTTACCACTCCACCAGCCCAGCCCAGCCCAGCCACTTTGCCTTGTCGCAATATCAACCAAGGTTGACTCAAGCACCTCGATCCTCTGATCCGCCTGGAGGACTAGCCCAGTTAGGCTAGGTAAGAGGAGTCATGGAACCACTGTAACCTGCCACCTGCTGCGGAACTGTCGTATCTCGGGATCGTGGTACGGGAACAGGAGTGAATCGCCTCAATGGCGAGGAATGGCTGTAATAGCTCAAGGTGTTGTGTCTATCTGGTGGGCTGTCTCTGCAGGAGTGAGTCTGCAAGATGAAAGACGAAGAGGGGGAAGAGAACTAAGAACATAGGTCGTGCCAAGCCGTGCTCCTTCCGTCATGTGAGAATCATATCATGTGACAGTAACCAAGCCCTCTTTCACTCCAGACAAATTTCTCTGCTTTCATCAATCAAGCAATCGAACAATCAGCCTATTCCTGACCTCCAGATTGGTTCAACACTATACAATCGCCCTCTTATAATGCCAAATCCCGTTGCTGCTGCCGCTCCTGAAGATGCTCCTTCGGACGCTGCCTCCACATGCCGCTCTCGAACTGCACTCGGAATGAGTTCGGCGTGCTGTACTTCTTCCCGTTAAACCATAGTTCGCTTTCGATATTCGCTGCGTTGATCATGAATCTGATGTTATAGACGACTTTGTAATATGTAGGCTTCTTCTTCAACTGCCACCAATGTTTCTTCACCTTTTCGAAATTTTTCACATCGACAGCAGTGAGATCTGACCTCATGACACAGCACAATTCCACACCATCTGGACAAGGTCAGCATGATCAAGGCGCCGGCAGGGGCGCAATTCGAGGTACCTTCTTTCATGCTCGAAGGCAAGGGACCTGTTCTCGAGTTGCAAAGGACAATCCGACTTTCGTAGGGTTCGCGAGGTGCGCCTTTAGCGAGGTTGCGATGGAATCCCCGTTCGATAGACTCCGTCTCGATTAGATCGCCCTAGTGAGATCAGACGCGAGGTCTTCTTCAATTTCCAAGCGGGAGCCTACTTGTCGAATGAACCAACTTATCTGATCAACCGCATATGTTAAGCCGTCTGTGGGGTCGACTTTCAATTTGGCCCCCCTGTGTCTGACTGGATCATATAACTGTTCGCAAAGTATGCCCAGAGACTGTCGGCATTTGCGAGCTCTGAGGACTGACTTGGTAAACTTCAGTTTCTGAAGCCTCTCGATCAAGAGGCCTTTCACAACAGAAAGATGACTGTGCTTGCATCAGCTTGAATGCTCGCCGAAGGGAAGACGTAGCCTACGGATAGTTCGTGGTGACTATCCTCAGATATGGGGCGTATACATTGGGCTGCTCGTGGACATATCTCTTCTCCAATTGTTTGAAAACATACTCGGAGCTGCCTAGTCCTCCTGAGAGCACGAGATATTTCTGGATTCGTCAGCACCACGATCTCGACGAGCAGTTCCGGACGATTTGCTTACAACTTGGTCGTGCGGCGCAACTGTTCGCATTCGATTCAATTGAGAATCGATCAACCTGTACATCTTTTCCAACTGGGTGTCAAACATTCGTTTCATGTCTGACCTGCCCCCTGGTTAGCGGAGTTCTTAAAAGATATGAGACCGGCAGCGACTAATCGACCCACTCACATTTTTAGCATGAGCTTCCCCTTCTGGATATCGCCAGCCTCGGACGATAGGTGACCGGCTATTCCAGGAATGACGATGGCACGCACATGGAGATGGTCAGAGTCCTCGGTTCCGTATTCCTCTTTGATCACCTTAAACCCACCCTTGCACATTTTCTTAATGACTGAAGTGATGGAGCTGGGCTCGAGGCCGATATAAGGTGCAGCTTGAAGCAGCCTTTCTTCTGCTAACCTTGCGAATGCGACGTCGATCTCTACACTTCCAATTTCGTCCCCTTTGGAAGACATGTCATCGAACGTATGGGCATGTTAGGGGAAGAGACTTCATACCTCGGACTTCATCGAGCTGCTTCAAGGTCGGCCTGCTACCTTGTTCCACTTCTGCCTTTAGAAGGGCCAGGTCCTGTCAGAGCGTGAGTTTGAGTACTGACCATGACCTAAACAGGGAGACCTCTTACGGTGGTCCCACCGCCAGCATCGACAACAAGCATTATGTCTCCATCCTGAGCTTGTCAGTTCCCCCAAAATAAACTCGGGCGCAACATTTACCGTGTATCTTTCGGACTCGGTTCCAAGAGTGCATACTGCAGCAGCTTCTGCCTCCGTCAAGCCGATCTCCACAGAGTGGTTTACGCCATCTTGCCCGAAGCCTGCCTCGCGCGCCAATGTTCTCAGATCCTCTGCTACACCAGGACTCCAGGTGGTCGGGACAGAAAATATGAACTCTATCGTCTCATCTTCGAAGCTCAGGGCGGGTAGCTCTGTACCCAGCATCTTCTTGATATGAGCATAGAGCATTTTCAAAAAGTCTCGATAGTAAGATTTCACATCGGCGTGAGATGGTGGAACATCCTCCCCACGCAAACGGAATTTTTCATATTCCCGTTTATCCAAGAATATCTTGAACCAGTCGTGGACTTCTAAGTCTTCATCCTCCTGCTGCGTCTGAAATCCCCAGTATATCTTGTTGCGGCGGTAGGAGAGTGACGTTGGCACCTCGGAAAGAGTCAGTCAAGAAGTATCTAGAGATGACTCTGTACTTGCTTTGTCGGCCTTTACAGTGCCGTTCCCGGGCCATTTCTGGATTGTGCGCGGCTCTACCATTTCGATGGCAGGTGACCGAATGATGTATGCCACCCCTGTTCTCGGAATGTATGTCAGGCATTGCTTGATCCCTTCAGTGGTGTTGCAACCTCACCCGTGCAAGTCATACCAACATCGATCCCAACCAGCAGCGGCTCCCGGGGTGATGCCATTGTTCCTTTGTTGTCGACAGGAGAGAACGGAGAAGGAACCTATCACCTTGGGCTCGAAGCTCTGGCGTGGGGTCAAAATATCTGACTTTTCCATTGAGATCTTCTTTCGCCAAATCAGTTGAGGCTTTTGCCCCCATGAGTCCACGTGGGCTCTGGACCTACGCGGTGGCGTACCTTCGCTCCGCGGACAAGCCTAGACTATTGATCTCTTCTCAGCCGCATACGAACCTCTTTCCAACTATGGTGCCACCTAGTGGCTGGCTGAAGTTCTAGGTTGCTTCGACGAATTGTCTCAGATGCATCTGTAGTTTGCAATTCGTGTCTGCATGGTAAAAGTGGCGAGTACCACTCGACGAGTTGACACTGGGGACCTTTGACGAGAAAGCCGCGCGAATTGTTCCCATAAAGCTGATCCTGGTCTTCAATCTTCGACCTTTCCTGTATGTTGTGTTTCTCCTGGCTTCGGTTATGGAGTGATCCCGACCTTGTTGCTGTTCACTCGAAACCCATCCCTCGGTGTGATAGATAGGATTTTTACCTTCAGACACAATGAGCGGCGAGGGATTGTCCGCTCTCCCAGCAGGTGTCACTGCGACTACCGTTGAAACTGCAATTGCTACTCTCCCTCTACAGGGTTCTTCTAGCGTGGTTTCTTTCTCAACTGCGATCACATATACGTTTTCCTCTACTGGCAAAATAACAAATTCTAGCTCAAACATAACCACCACCTCCGCATCGCAGGCCACGGCCACTACCAATGACACCTCATCGACTCAATCGCCGACTCCTCCTAATACTTGCAACTCGACGGGAAACTCGACAGAAAATTCTCACAAGACCTTGTCCGCAGGGGCTATCAGTGGTATTGCCATTGCATCTGCAATATTTGGTGCACTGTTCGTTCTTTTTCTCCTGTTCTTCATGAAGAGCCAGCATAAGAAAAGTCGCCATCATGGCACCACATCATGGTTGGGGTATTCAGATCGTTCCAGCTCTAAGCGACCTGGACAGTTGAGCAGCACGATGCGAAGGCATCGAGACAATGCCGAAAAGGGTGGGCTTATTGAGAGGTCTGTTCAGGAAATCACCGCGGAGAATGCCTTGGAGCAACCCAAAGACGATTCCACCATCAAACAATCCGTGGCTGCTCTTTTCAAGGCAATTGAGGACCACGCTGAGAATTATTACCTGGACTTCCCACCTCAAGGTGCCGCCTCACACCAGGAGCACCAACTCCAGTACAGCAATCTGCCTAGTGGCATCAAAGGCCAAGCCGACGTAGACTTCAGGCCAATCCTCGCTGCGCCGGAATCCCGTTTCTCGGCCATTGCCAGCCTCATTTCAGCAACATTACTAGATGCCATTGATTTCTTTGGCCAACCTGAAAAGTCACTACTGCCTGAAGGTGTGACGAGCTTTTTGAGAGCCTCGTCAGGTCAAGTGACGGACAGCCATAGTACGTTGAACTTTTGCCATGAAAGACTTGACCTCTGATCATTTTCTCAGGGAGCCGACTTTATTTGTCAAGATGGAGGACCGGCACCGCATACCTTCTCGGGCCAGAGGAGTCTTCTGAGCATCGAGCACGATCTCAAATGGTCATGGATGCTTTGATCGCCGATCTGGATGCCGTTGTGTGGCCATACACTAACCCAGAGACCGATACAGACCGGCGTCAGCACCTCGTAAAGATCTGCAAGCGAGCCCAAGAGCTAGGACTCCTTCTTCTGTCCCAACCAGCCGAGTGGAAATTTGACTGGAGCAATAGGCAGCAGGCAGAGAGAACGACATCGCAAAGTCGGCGAAGCGAGAGGGCCAAGAAACCATTCGTCGTCCAGCCCCAACTTCTGCGGGTGACGGACAACTTGGCCCGCAAGTTGGACCGTCCGCTCGTCGTCATTGAACGCCAAGTTTTGCACTAACACTAAATACGAGGTTCGAAGCACAAAAGGGTCAGTTGGTGGTTGGGAGGCCGAGACTGCCACTAGGGCAGTGTCCCGTTTTCTGTCTCAATTCTGTCCCATTCCGCCCCTCATTCTCAGCCTGACGCTTTCAAATTCTCTACCAGTCTCTTCTCCTCATTGACGCGGGAATGTGAGCTCTGCATATTTAATACCATATCACTGATATCCAACCTTCACCTCTTGACTCAGAACCTTGGAGAATATCATCTGTCGGCAGAATATGTAGACAGAGGAAATGGCTGCAGTGGTCGTCAACAGGCTGAAATGCAAGGGATGGTAGGCCATGCCGAGCCGCAAGGGCTCCTTTCCCTGTCGGATCTAGCTTGCTTGTATTGGGCTTTCTAAGCCGCACTAGTTCTGCACAACCTCCTCCTTTCCTCGTATCACCAAAGTGGAGCAAATGGAACCAAACCTAAATCTTCTTGCCGCTTTCGCAGCCTGACCGCGGGCGTCCCTCCCGAGTGACCTCGATCTGGAACTGAAGTGCTGATTGGGGCCTGAAGTTGCGCTGCATACCTCGCCTATGGGAGACTTTGGACTCTTCTTGCAGTGGCGTTTGCCCCGATCATCGGATTCACGTGTGCTCTACCCAATAGCCAAATCAGACCTGGCTCTCTGGAGGAAGTCGGCAAAGCTTCATCTATCACGGGGTCAGTTGGCTAGCTTATCTTTCTGATCAACTTTTTATCCGAGCGCTATTAGGCTGAGAATTGATTCAGTCTTCGGGCACCCGCCATCAGCATCAAATACTCTCTGGAGTGGCAGGTTCTGCGCAGTCAAAGTCAATCCAAATGCCGGAGCCAGTATCCATTGCCACATCTGTATTTTCCGGGTTCAACGCCTTCATCAAAGCGATCAGTCTAGCTGCGCACTATAAGGAAGTACCGAAGGAAGTAAAACAACTACATACTAACATCGAAAGAGCTGAAAGGACTATAAATATTGCAAACCGCCTACTACGCTCTAAAGCTCATTACCTGGACCCTCGTCTCAGAGAGGAGACCCGCCAAAGTATCGAGGCGACCGAGAATGTACTTCTTCTTGTCCGTGACTCCATCGAAGGATGTCGAAAAGACCTCGAGCTTCAGCAGACAGTCACCTTTAAGAACAGAGCCGCGTGGCTTTTATGGAAGAATCAAGGGTTTTTGTCCCAGCTGCAAACACTGGTCAACTGCTTGGATGCGTTAGACAGGGACATCTTGCGCTTGGATATGGTACATCCACCCCTAATCCTGGTGGGTGGAAGCCTCGCTCCACCCGCTTATGATGATGGAGACTTGGAAGAATACAAACACAATGGTGGAGATGTACAAATGGCTCCAAGCAGAGGAAGGGAGAAACCCCCCTTTCCATGCAGCCTGACAAAGAGACTACGCTCGTGTAACAACAGCAGCAGCCAGATCAACTTGAACAGCTTGGCCGATGCTCAACGTACACCCGAAGACTTTTCGTCTACGCTTTATAATGATAACAGTGATAAAAGCCACAGATCAGATAATCGATCACCGCCACAGGCAGTCAACGGACGAGAAAATCTCAATACTCGAAATATGGGGGAATACGCTGATCAGTTTGACATGGATACTCTCGAGGTTGACCCCACTGGTCTGGGATTATCATTTTTGCAGACTGGCTCGAACACAAGACAAGTGAGATTCTTGCAGCTGAATCAAGACAACACCCTGTCTCCGGTGCAGCGGCTCCAGGATGTGTACATCTCAGAGCTCCCAGTGGCACATGATACGACCCAGAGCATTGAGGCCCCGTACCCCATGCCATATTCCTACTCTTCGAATAATCCCTGGCGGAATATTCAGGCCAACAGATCTCCACCAACTCCTGTTGATCCGCCCGATGGCCATCGTGGACCGGTCTCTGCATTTCCTCCACCTCCGGAAAGCGATTGCACCCGCTCAGGTACTATAAATACCCCAACCATAAGCGACGACGGAGAAGGTATCGCCAAGAACTTCCTCGACCACTGGTCTACAGCGCCTGCCGCTCCACTGGATGGTAACTGCCTGACCGGCGGTCTGTTGCCCCTGGAGCCTCAAGAGAAAAAGGTCAAATGGCAGCGGAAGTCGGATTTCATTTGATGTAGATTGACAAGGGACATGTCTCTTCATCTCTCTTCCATTCACTCTATGACCTGGAGTTGCTCTGTTACTCTTCACATATGTCCTGTGCAGTCCTCTTGATATATCACAGCAAGTATTGCATATGATCCTCTGAGCAAGCGGGTGGTGTCATGACAGTCAAAGTGCTTTACATTTACGTACTCCCCGGTATCGGGAGGAAGTTGGCATTGCTAGTATTGTAATAGAGCACTTCATGGTTCGGCATGCACGTGAAACAATGCACTGTGGCCTGTCCAGCGGGTCGGGAATCGAGAACGCGTTTCTGGTTGACGCTGACAAGACAACACCACCACCGACACCACCCCGAGAGAGGCAGCGGCTAGGGCAGCGAGCGCCTAGCACGGCGGCGGCATTGAGAAGTGGGAAAGGGGCGATAAAACACTCAGGAATAGGTAGACGACATCAAAAACATAGAGTATTCTGTTCAAACTGGCAAGAATGATAGCACCCTGCCAGTACTGTTGTTGACAGGGTCGCGAGAGCGCCACTGTGGGAAATCACCTGAGAACGCTAGGCGTTCCACCAACTGTGGAAACTACCTCAACCTCGTTGTTCTCGCAGACCTGTGACAGGATGGCGACGGAATAGGAGGTTTCAGGAATGCTCTTCAGGGCACAGGGCAATGTATACATAAACAGGCAGAGTCTCTCTGAATAGCCAGGAGGACAGAACACAATCAAGCAGATAGATCCACAACTGTTCTGTGTAGAACATGAAACCACGACCCTAACGGCGACCACTACATACACATTGGACAATTACACTACTTTGACCCCGATGGTAGCAACTACTTTCAAAACTCGATATAATGGCTCGGTAGTAAAATCTAGCGTGATCAGCCTGTACACTATGCTTAGCCATGTCGGAACCACTACGACTACGGAGACACTCATGTTCGTACAGACGACGTATCCCAGCACCCCCACGTCGCCTACCAAAGACTTCGCCGTCTTGGTCTCACCACTTTTAGCAATAGCTTCTGGTTTGTCCGTAACACTAGGTGCCGACGCTACAACACGAACGACGAGTTTGGCAGATCCTAGAGTAACCCGAACTGCACAAATAATACCAGCCAAACTCTCTGTGCGCAAGGAATTACTCATCATCTCCCCATTGGCGGTCTTTCTTAGTGAAGGCATCCTTCCATACCTGTTGATGTCTACTGTGATCGTCTATGTGCAGCGTGGTCGCTTTAAACTGCCGGCCAGAGACACCGACACCTATGCCAGCGTGCTTGGATTTGTCTACGCTAGCACAAAGCTACAAAAGTGGGCAAAGCAGCAGGAGGATATGGACACCCTCAACACAAAAAGTGACCATAAAATCGAAGACCGAAGAGTAGATGATGTCAAAAGACAAATGAGATCGAGCAAAGGAGCTGAGGCCCTTATTGGCATGGGATTCTTTACCGGTGAAGATGGTAATTCTCACTGGGGTTGTGAACTTGATGTAGTGGTGAGAACCAGTTTTACAAGTCACGCAGGCGGCGTTGGCCAGCGTAGTATAAACCACCGAGCAGGAAGGCCGGACGAACCAGTCATAGGCAGGAAGGAGGTAGCTAATCGCGAGGAATCGCAGGGAACTCCTTGTCCTGCGGTTAGCGGCCCTAGTTGAAAAATACATGGCACGGTCAGACGGCTAGACGAGACGGTTTAAACAGTGAACACGAACTCCTTCGCTATATTGAATGCGACCTGCATTTACAAGTAGTATTTCGTTTACATTTAGACTCGGTGGCATTTTATCCTCTATCCATCGCACTAGCTATATCTAACACAGCAGCCATTTCGTTGTCGTTAACCCTCTTCGGCTACACTAGATACGGCGTTTACTCTGTGCTAGACCGTGACACTTATCTTGCTGATAGGCTCATTAGGTCCCTGAAGTAGGAGAGCAGCGAGACGTTAACTCTGATGGATCTATGGTGATGTTAATTTTCACTGGTGCCGGGGGCGAACTAGACAAGATTGTTAACTATTTCTAGAGAAGAGAAGCTGAGTGGCTGCTCGCAACACAATATCGCACGTTGTTCCACCAAGCTTTGGGCACCAGATAAACCTGGACGGACGCGAGTTGAGACAGACATTGGTCTACGATCACTTTGTTCTCCTCTGGCCGTGGTCAAATGAGTTGCGAGAACCGTTTAGATATCCGTGGGTAGAATCTCGTAGATACCCAACCCAGCACACATGGTGGTTCATTATCGAACCAAAGGATATCTCGAGGAAAGAGATCCAAGCGACAAAATACAAAGTCCGGGCCAGCGAACGAGATGTTTGATGTTGGGTCGAGGAGCCGAACATTACACCAAGCTTCCATATCCTCAACCGACTCGAATATACGATCGTCCGAATCGCCCAAGAGGAAACAGCGGGAATGTCCACCGACAAGCCGGCGGGTCTCTTGGATTTAATGGAGGCGTGGTGCTGTAGGCTTCGGGTCATATGGCGTATCTGGTGGCTTTCACTGAGATCCTTCTTTCTTTCACCTTTCATGTAGTCCATTACAATGTAGCCACAGTTTTCGCTGTCCGTAAAATACCGATACACCCGGATGTGCACACGATGCTAGGATCGAGGATCTGGTACGCCTTTGCCAGGTTGCAGGCCTCATCCTCACTGAGCATTCGGGTACAGGCTCAGTGACGATGAGTAATGAACCACCATGTGTGCTGGGTTGGGTATCTACGAGATTCTACCCACGGATATCTAAACGGTTCTCGCAACTCATTTGACCACGGCTAGAGGAGAACAAATAAGAAGGCGGTCTCGGATAGCTTCCTTACAGATTCGTGTTATCTCAGCATCGGAAATGTGATCCGCCATGGTTAATGCTAGAAATGTCAGGATGAAACCCACGATGTTGGCATTAGTTTATGATGGTTAGCCCAAGCAATACAACCACGCGGGGCGGAGATTCGGAACTCCTCTCCCGGAGAACCTTCCCTCCTCGTCGCCTCTCACCTTCTCGTCACTGTTTGTCACTCCCCTTCTCAACCCCTCGCCAATATTTCCACACTCCCTTCTTTCAACGGACAATGCAGGGTATCGCCACACCAAGAGCGAAAGTGATGCACTTCTAAATCGAAAGTTGGGAGATGGATCCGGATCCAGATCAAGGACTGCAGGAGGGTTCGGCCGAAAAGCCGACAAGGAAGCGGCAAAAGATCGTGACTGCTTGTGAGCCCTGTCGGAGTCGTAAGGTCAGCGCGCCCTGCAGTTTCTTCGGACACTCATCCGAGGGTGGCCGTATCGACCCGCTACTGACAACGTGGGCTGGCTTTGTAGGTCAAGTGTGATGGAAGTCGACCAGGTAAGCAAGATCGAAGCTAAGTCGTCTCAAGCTCGAAGCGAACCAAAGTCGCGAGGGCTAGCCCAACGGAGACTATGAATCGGCACCGCGACGAAGCCTGCGAGGCTGACCATACTGCCTAGTGTGCAATGCGTGTCGCAAGAAATATGGCACGTTGGCTGATTGTACTTGGGACCCGGGATCTACTCGTGTCAACCAGCATGCTCCGTTGCAATATGTCCGTCGCCTCGAGGACCGAATTCGCGAACTGGAGCAGCAAAATATGCTTCGACAGAGCGAGATGCGAGCGGATGTGGTCCAACCAGCGCTGGCCGTTGTGTCCACCTTTCTATCATCTTCTGGGAAGCAGACATCTACACAGTGCGAAAACCCATGGACAGGAAGTGTTCAGTCGCCTCTCATTGAGGGAGCCGCCCGGACGGTAACTTCACGCTCGCAGCAGCCTATGCCGTCCCATAGGGAGACTGCCGTGATGCCTGCAATGATCGGAGTAGAGACCAACGAGCTCCGCAGACAGGAACCGTACGGCAGCTCGAGTGCAGGCTCCTTTATTCAACATGTCCGCAAGGTGGTTGAACAGAAAACAGCATCGCCCTCGGCAGTTCATCCATCGGGCGCCGTTCGCGATCAGGACAATAATCCGCTCATGGTTCCGAATGTGCCATGTGACAAGGCAGGCGAGGATAGTGACCTTCCTGGTCGAAAGAGGGCTGACAATTTGTTTGCCGTGTATTGGCAACTTGTCCATTCGTTGTACCCGTTCCTGGGTAGAAGGATGACGACTGCCGACTACGAGAATCTCTGGAAAGGCAATGGCTTAATACCTCATGAACGATCTTTCCTCTGTCTGCTTAACCTCATCTTCGCCCTCGCGAGCCAACTTTCGCCGTCCATCACGCCCTCCGAGCGGGCAGCATCGGCAGCGGTGTTTCATACCCGAGCCAAGCATCTCCTGGATCTAGAGAACACTGCGTCTGTTCGCTATGTGCAGATATATCTCTTGTTCGGACTCTACCTCCAAAGCACCCACGAGGCGCACCAATGTTGGGTCTTTGTCGCCCTCGCCATTCGAACAGCGCAAAGTCTGGAGCTGCACATGCCAGAGACTAATGAACGACCTTCAAACTCCCGTATGAGGTCACTGTTGCGCAGAGTGTGGCATGGCTGTGTACTGATGGACAGAGTGTTGGCCATGGCGTACGGTCGCCCTTGTATGATCGATCGCCGAGTCGCACTCTCCGTTCCACTTTCTCTTGCCGTTGAAGGCGAAGAGATGTCTCCTGATCCTGCAATGCTGGGGTCCCTTAGTCCGGCGGAACAGCCGGCTTTGGGCGACTTCTTTAACCAGCCGATGCTGCTGTACGGCATCCTGCACGATGTCCTGGTCAATTTTTACTCGCCACAAGCCCCGCATGTCCACTCGCTCGACGATGTCTATCATCATTACTTCGAAGGTTACCACCGTCCTCGGGGCGAACTTGACGTTCTCGAAATCGACCGAAAATTGTCCAGGTGGAAGAAGGAACTTCCGCGTTATTTGGAAATCAGCAACTATCCACTAAATCAGCACCCCGTCACCATACTTTCCAGACAAGCCGTTATATTGCAACAAAGGTGATCCTTTCTTGCCTACAAATACAGGCCTTCGCCACTGACCCACTCCCCGTCTAGATTTCTCCACGTCCGCTTACTCTCCCTGCGTCCCGTGCTTTCGGCCTTTATCACCTTCGATAACTACGAGAAGCAAGCACACCCCTGCCTAGAGACGTTTCTGTCGCGTCGTGTGATATTTCAGTGCTGTTTGGTCTGTGTGAAGGTGGCTCAAGAGTCTATCGACTTGATAGATAAGAGACGAACGGAAGACCCAGGGGTCGCCACAAACCTGGCAGCGTGGTGGTACAATGTCCTGTTCCTCTACACTTCGGCGACAGTGCTTGTGGCAGCGCGTATCAGCCCCTTCATATTGGCTGAGATATCGGAATCGACGATTCTTGATTCATGGCGGAAGGTGATGGAAGGGTTGGATCATTTCAGCGTCTTTGGCAGTTCGATCAAACGACTTGTCACGACCCTGAAAGTCCTCTTTGAGACGGTGCCCCATCAATTCTCCCGGCTTCGGCAATTTCCAGCAGATAACAATATGCAGCAACAATTTCGGGATGCTCCGACTACTGTAATTGAGGGACTCCAAGAGCGATTAGTCGATGGCCGCCACCTGGCCTCGTCACGGCCTATCAGCCCATCATTTGTTGACAGAAATGTGCCTGAGTCGAACCTTCTCGATTTCGATCCGGAGGACTCTTTAGGTCTTATGGCTGCTTTCGACACGAATGACATGTCTTGGCTCACAACCGTGCCATTCGAGATGTGATGGCGGAAAAAGGCCATAGGACAGCATAGACTCTTCCGTGGAAGCCGAAATACAAGCTTACTGCAGACTGCTCGAGGTTCTGCAACTCCCCTGCACTTTCATACAATTGGCATGTCAATAGTCAGGCGCAGCACACACTAAAGCTTTACAGCGGCTATGAAAGAGTGAGAATGGATAAGCACTTTCAAAGCTGGCGCGACTCAGAAAAGCACGAATCGGAGGTGGCTCCGGTTGGTACGACGGTTCTAAGTTATTGACCTATCACAGCACAACCCGATCTGATTCTTCGCCTGCTTGAGTTCGGATTACCATGGAAACACCCGGGCTAAGATCGAATAGAGAGCGGCTCCAGCACCCACGCTAAATCTTGATTAAGACCAACCCCTTGGTAGCGGAGGAAATTCGGAAGGTGATCCAGCACTTCCCTCCATTGTCCAGTGTACTTGTACATTAAGGATAAGGAGAAAGTCCGGGGAACCCCCGCAGTGGAGACCTACGAAACGAGTATCAGGGGGTGGGTGACTCGAACGTATACTTCATCTTAAAGGGCCCAAAGAGATGTCTAAAGCTTTATGCTGCAACTCAGAGAAGTGATTTTGTCTTCCTACTCGGCTTTGCCATTTCGGGCGACAAGATAGTCGGGATTGATCGTGATGGCGCAAGTCGAGAAAGACAGCACGATAGTGTCCGAGCACCATGAGAAAGCAGCCGATGTCGACCTGGTTCGCAAAGTGATGGGTGTCGAAGGCACCTATGTTCGAACAACCTTGCCCAAGTCAAAGGAGGAGAAGGCACTTGTGCGAAAGGCAGACATCTTGATCTTGCCCCTGCTGTCGGGCAGCATCCTCTTTGCGTATCTTGTTAGTCTGGCCTTGCTCACTCTTGTCTGATCTGTAGCGACTTACCCATCGACCAGGATCGAGGCAATATTGGGAATGCTCGCATCATGGGCCTCCAAGAGGATATCAATCTGTCCGACGGCCAGTATTTCAACTGCCTCATGATGTTCTGTGAGTCCCCGCCTTCAGCACCACTTTCAAGTCGACGCTGAACAAAACCCAAAGTCCTTGGCTACATGCTTGTTGAATTCGGCGCAGGCCTACTACTCCGCATTTTTCCTCCACGGTTTGTCATAGGCGGTGCTATTCTGTGCTTCGGCACAGTCGCATGCTGCATGGCAGCAGTCAAAGGCTATGCGCCTTTGATGGTCCTGAGAGTCCTACTTGGCCTCGCTGAAGGAACCGGTTATAACGTCTATCTCTACACCAGTCTGTGGTACAAACCCTATGAATTATCCAAGAGAACTGGTGAGCTATGTTTGTCTTCTTGTGGAGTCGATTTTCCTTACTGACAGACTTGCTGCAGCCGCGGTATACGGCATGAGTCCTCTTGCAGGAGCCTTCAGCGGTCTCTTTGCCTACGGAGTGCAAAGAAATTTGGACGGCGCAAAGGGTTATCATGCTTGGCAGTGGCTCTTTATCATCGAGGGAGTGTTAACTATTACCTGGGCTCTCCTGATAATTGCTATCCTGCCGGCATTGCCAGACACCGTGGCGGCAAAAGGCAGCTTCATCTTTCCACATGAAGGTGAACGTAGAATCATTGCACAACGCATGCGAGAAGGTTAGTCGGCCGCCTGATAGTCTGTGCTATAGATCCTGCAGACACTTATTTCATCTAGGCCAAAACACCGAGGGTTCCAAAATCCGTCTCCACCAGGTTTGGATCGGTCTCAAGGATCCCAAGCTCTATCTCGGTTCTCTGATGATTGGGGGGTTGGGGATCATTGTCGGCGGCTTTTCCGTCTTCCTGCCCACCTTCATAAAAGAGTTCGGCTTTTCCAACTTGGAGACACAGCTGTATTCCATCACCCCGTACGCGTTCGGCTTCATCGCCCTTGTCGTCATGGGCTTCGTGTCCGACTACTTGAAGCACAAGGCCTGGATAATCTTTGGGTGCTTCTGCGTCGTGGGAGCTGGCTACGTCGTCCTGCTCGCGACTACTAATAAAGTGGCCCTAATAGCAGGCCTCTGCATCATCCTGACGGGCTTGTACCCGGGAGTCATCGTCTGCGTGGCATGGATCAACACCATGCACGGCGGGTTCACCAAGCGAGCCTTGGCCATCTGGTTCAGTCAAATTTTCATCCAAGGCTACAGCATCATCGCGAGCCAGGTGTATACCACGCCTCCGCGGTTCTATAAGGGCCATGGTGTCGGTATCTCTCTTTGTGTTCTTGCAATGACCTCCACAGCCGCATTGTATGTCATCATGAAGAGAGCCAACGCTCAGCGCGAGCAAAGGGCACACGATTTCGCGGCCAGAGGTGAGATTGACCCGCTAATGGAGAAGGATTTTGAGGATTTGTGCGATTTCCATCCCGCCTGGCGCTACCCGCTCTGAAAGCCAGAGTGTCAAGAACCAAAGGCGACAATGGGGTGCCAAGCTATTGCAGATACTTGCGCGTCGGAGAACTAGCGGACTGGATCCAGTATTTGAGTGGTCCCTTGAGATTGCAACTTGGGGAACCCTCGGGATATGGAGGCCACACGGTGGTGATGCGGTCAACCTTCGCTAGACAGCGTTGAGAGACTACAGGGGATTGAAACAGGTGTTTTTTGTAACTGAGTGCGTGTGAGGAACAGAGCAAAGATTAACGTTCAGTCTCGCCAAATGCACCGCAAATATCACGAATATCACCACCATTCTCATCTCATACTATAAGGGCTCCTAAGCGGTTATCAACACACCGCTTTGGTTAGCGTGCCTGCTTCGTGCCCTCTGCTGGTTTCGGTCCCCGGCGGGGTGTGTAGCCGAATCTGCCGGCGCGGAGCCTGCTAGGTATGGTTGAAGGCAAAAAGGCCCGTGCAGTAGCTTCCGGTACTATTCCTAATAGTCAGGACGGAGTTGGAGGCCGGGAAAAAAGCAAGCAGAGGTCGATTCAAGTGACGTGATTGCTGAATGAGTCAGACTTGTATTTTTCCTCAAGGTTGCTAGCCCCGAAAACCAGCCTATCCTTGCACTGACACTGTCTTGTTAAAATGGTGCACTATTCACTATTCTATGGATGAAGCCAGATTTGAAGCTGTCGCGGCACAAGAACTGTCCTGGCTATTCACTCTCCTTCTCCCTTCTCAGTCATGACCACGTAGGGACCCTCTTGGAAGGCCAGGAAACTATACGCAGTGACAGAAAGTTAGCACTGTCAGCAAATGCAATTACCCAATGGGGGACCCGAGAGGACCCGGAACTATCCTCGAGGGCATTTTGCTTACATATTCTTCACCGGCATTGGAGCCTTCGAGTCGACCAGCTTGAGGTCAAAGTGCATAAAGAGCGTAGGTAGAAACTATTCAAGATGCGAGGCGTCAGCGGATTGGCATTCACAAAGTGCCCACAAAGGACGCCAAATTCTCGCGAAGAATGATCCATCGTACCTTGGACATCTCAAGCCAGACGATATCTATTCATCGCCCAAGGAGATTAATCATTAGCTCATGCCTCTTTCATACCGAGCGGGAAAGGAATGCTCACTTCTACCAAGGCACGTCCGAGCTCCGCCGCCGAAGGCGAAGAAATAGCGCTCTGTTCAGGTCAGCACGATATTCTCTTTTCTCTCTTGTCGGAGCCGGTGTCTGCCGCGAATGATGATGGAGGTTCCCGAAACTTACGCAGTTCGCTCTTTGTCGCCGGGTCCATCCATCTCTCCGGGCAAAATTCATCGACATTGTCGCCAAAGATCTCGGAGCGACGGTGGATCGCCCAGGCGTTTGTTCCCACGACGGTCTGGATGTGGAGTGGAAGGTTAGTGCCAGGCTCAACAAACTCATGGACACCTACTCGACTTACTCCGGCTGGAAGGAAGACATCTTTCACAACCAGGCCACCCTGAGGGACGACCCTGGGCAGAGGAGCGGCAAAGGGCGGATGCAGGCGTAGAGATTCGTACATGATGGCCTGGAGAAATGGCCATGCTTCGGCCTCGTGGAAGCGGATCGGGTCGCTGATCTCGCCCATCATCTGTCTCTCCTTCAGCTCATGCAGGAACCGCTCCAGGCACGAAGGGTGGCTGAGCAGGTTGTAAATCATCGCGCGCAGGGCAATAGCCGTGGTGTCGGAGCCTGCGAAGATGTTGCTGGTCAGGGCGGACGTCATGGCGTATTCGGAGAACTCGTCGGGTTTCTTCCTTCTCAAGTCCTGCAGGTTCCCCAGAATGGACCTGTGGTCTTCGTTCTCGTCCCGCAGCAGCTGGTGCTCTTGGACCTTCTTCTGCGCCAGGGCGCGGAATTTGATGCTGCGCATCGTCACCCCGAGCCAGTTGCCCGTCCAGTCCGAGGTCAGATGGTGGATTCGGTACACCCACGGCACGACGCCCACCCAGTTGGCGCTGGCGAACACCACCTTGGACAGCGCGAGTATGCCATCCGCGTCACCCTTGTCCAGGTAGTTGAAGCTCTTGGCGAAGCTGATTTCAGTGATACTGTCTATTATTCAGACGGAGTGTCAACGAAACCGTCCAGCTCCAACCCAAAGGAGCCCCCGACTTACCGATGGCAAACAACGCCAACCATTCGCCCAGATCGAACGGCCTAATAGTCAAGGATTTCATCTTTTCGAGGAAATGCTCAATGACCTGATCTACAAATCCTTCTAGGCTCCTGATTGAATCCATCGAGTATGGCCTACTGACCATTCGGCGATTCTGGCTGTGCACATGCCCGTCTGTCTCGGCCGTGAGGCTCCACTTCAACTTCGCCTTGAACGGCTTATAGAAGTCGGATTTCTGGAAATTGTTACCCGCCCCTAATTCCTCATCGTATTAGTATTTCTGAAAGTTCCGATGGGAGGGTGGCAAGGTACCATAGATCTTCTTGAAGGTTTCGGGGTCAGCGATCATACTGTGTCCGGGGGTCAGCACCTCACTGCAGCGCGTCAATTGCCTCTCACTTACACCTGGTTGGGACCAATCCGCACGAATGGACCATACCCTCTGTGAAGTCGAAGACAATCCAGATGCTGTTCTTCCTTCAACACAGTAGACAGCCACCACAGGTTGGTAAAAGATGCCAGAAACGGACCCGGAACCTTGGACAGCGGCGAAAAGTATCGCTGGTAGAAAATGTATATCAACAGAGCGAGGACCGGAAGCGAAAGGATCTGTCTGTTTGCGGCGACCTCACCCAGCCGCATGCTAGCGAGGCTCGGGTGTGCTGCACTCGCGTCGAGGGAGGTCATTATGACAAGAGTGACAAACTATATGGAAAGATGTGAATGCGACAAGAGGGTAGTGGAAACTCACTAAAACCAAAGTACTGACGCTCGATTCGAACTGAGGAGATTGAGAGACTTCGAACTTTTGAAATCTCGTCCGCTTACTGTGCACCAGTGCGGAAACCGGGGAGACACATTTCATGAAGGGGAGATAGTTGTTTGCCGCAGTGGCCATGATTGGCCAGCAAGCTTCCCATCCATACGGATCATCGTCAGAAATGGCTAACTGAAGTGGCCGTGTTGCCAAATGATTGATTGTTCCGTCTCTCACAGCACAGGATGAGAGGGAGTGTCGTTTACTGGGACCATGGGGTTGGGGGCAAGTGGTTTACCCCGGTGTTCCGAGCAGCAGCTCGGACCGCCATCCGAAACGATCAACTCTTTACCCTCGATCAGGCTAGGGCAGCTCTGGGCACCTCCGCCGCCGGAGAGTTCGGTCGAGGTCAGTCCGAGAATCGGAGAGTTCACCACACTCATTTCGGGTTGACACTCTCCCACTTAGGGGTGTTGGAGCTCAAGAACACGACGCGGTCACATTCTGTCTATGTCTTTGGACAATTTGATGGCATCAACAATCCGTGGCGTCGTGATGGTGTACCCGGTTGAACTAGCCATGCTTGACATTGGTGTAATGCTACGATAACACATTGTGAAGCATGCTGTACTGCGGGAAATGCTGCACACATTCGAGTCGCTCAGACCGATCCAACTCCCACACTCTTAGGCCGAATTGACATACAGATTGCAGGCTTCCACCTCTCGCAACCAGAGTTTCCAGGGTCGATGAGCAGATTGTGGTATTGACCACGTGGTGTCGTCGACCTCCTTCTGACTGAGATACTTGATCGCCTTGCTTGCCTTGTCAGTCTGCAGATCTGCCGCCCTGATCATCAAGGCCGTTGTTTGGATCATGGCGTTTTTCTGCGTGTATACGGCCCTCATGACACACTCTTCTATGCTCCCGGCGAGCACTGTAAATCCATGGCCTCGCATCAGCACCACCGTGTGTTGTGGCAGATCGTTTCCACCCGGCCTACTTCCGGCAAACGAATTGGCCAGGGAACCGCCGAGATGGGCATTTCGCACCAACAGATCACTGATATCGCCTGATCGTTGTGCATCCTCAATGTCCCAGACAGGCACATCCAGACCCAGGAAGCCGGCCATGTGGTAGCATGCCCGCAGGGGCACGCCACTGAATGTGTAGGGCACCACGGCTTCCGAATGGCTGTGGATCACAGATCGAACACCCGGATAGCGCTTATAGCACTCGCTATGGATATGACGCTCCAAAAATCCGGCTGCCGCGTTCGGGTCGACGGGCTTAGAGTCCTCGACATAATACTCAATCAAATCGTTTGGGGACGAGATGGTCGCCGGTGCGGCATTGCGAGACATGATGAAGATATTCGGATCCAAGGGGTGTCGGAAGGAGAGATGTCCAAAGGCGTCCAGGACATTGTGATAGTGGAGGATATGGCTCCCGTTCAAGTAATCGCGATAGAACTTCTGTAGAACCGTCTGTTCGGTCGAAGTTTGAGTACCTGCCATTGGAAAATATCCGTCGAAGGGAGCAAAAAATCCAGATGTTGGAAAATGAGGAAGAGACGACGTCAATGTCGGTCTTTCTATAATTCTCGGACTCATGCGGAGTACGCCCGTTGAGGGAACTAGCCGGAAGCCAGCCAGCAAATTGAATCGAAATCCGTAGGGGGGTTATTTACCCCAAGACCCGCCTTCGTCGCAGTCCAATTAAGTCTGGCTTTTTCGAAGAAAGGGTCATACACCCGCGACAACCTTCGGACGTGTTAGCGCCCTGCTCTGATGGGGCGTGAGAAGTAGAATTCGAATGGTAATTCTATCCTCTGCTACTCGTCGCAACGACTTGATATTCACTTGATTAGAGCGGTAATCAAGTTTGTGCTTACAAAAAGGCTGCGGTGTAGTGTTACAGATTCAGCCAAGCCCCCAGCCAACATTCATTGAGACAACGGTCAGCTAGCGTTTATCAATCCAGACGGTTGTTAGGGCACCAGTGGGGATTTCGTGACCGAGGGGGTGCTCTCTTATTACTAGCACGCTGCTTGCGGAGAGGCGCAACTCCCTCTTTCTCGCTTATGTTTGAAGTCGTGTACAGTATCGACCATGTAGCTTAATGGGTTGAACGCTCAGATGTGCGGAAAGGGCGGTTTCAGCAAGGACCAATGGGAAGAGCAGCGACATCGCGGCAGATGTCGGGAGGAAATGGATGTCGGATGAATTCGATGCGGTTGTTAGGAATGGCAGTAGGGCCATCAGGTCCTATAGGAGTATCTACTATTACTTATTGCTAGACTCTGCTTGCTTTGCTAAGAAATCCCTAACATGTACGCTCCGATAGATGTCCAATATTGATTGGTTGTCTACATGGAAAGAGAAAAACTAGTTGAGCACCAACTCTAGGCCCTAAAGAAATGCAACGGCGCCTCGGCACGTTCCTGCATTGACCTCTTAGACGAAAAAATCCAACTTGGAGATCTGCTAAGTGGAGCCCATTCAGCTAGGAGGGCCGCAAAGAACAACAGCGAACGAACGCTCAGTGGCCGGGCCAACACATAAGCGGTAAGCGGACTGTGATAGGCAGATAAATTGTCCTGGTGTTGCCCAGAATGAGGCAGTGCAGCCAGGCGCATTTCAGGATTCCGTGACACATGCGAGTGGTGCTTGGTTGGCCTGGTCTGGAGTCTGACTTCACGCCACTCCCACTTTGGGAATGATAAGCTGCGAGTCGCATCAAAGAAAGAATTCTTCGGAGGCCATGGTCAAGCTCGACGCTCTACGAAGAAATAAATAATCAAGTTCTGCAGCATGTGCCATGATCATTAGATCTACTACCTATTAAATGAAAGACCCATCTTCTGTTGAAGTATATGTATATGTATATAAGCCATGTTGTTGAACTGCAGGAGTCTAGTTCCTAGGACGAACTTCAATTCCGTCAAAAGAGTCCCCCTTGACCAAAGCACTCTTTTGTACTGCCCCCAAGCCAACAAAATGGGCGCCAATCGATGGGTGAAGACAATCACGGCATCGTTTCTAGAACCACATTGGCACGCTGCAAGCACGCCGCCAAATCCGCCACCCTCATCCGGCTTCCGGTCCCAGAGTGCAGGCACATGGGACGAGATGCTTGCGGGAATCCTGCCTTGCCGTGGCACGGGAAGCCAGGACAGTTTGCCCAACAATGATGACGGACAAGACGCCTTAGCTGCGGAACTCGACAAAATGACGGATGACATCGCTGATATGCCGCCTCATGTGGATCACAAAGCACAGGGAACTTCTTCCAATGGCTGACTGGTCGATTGAATGCAACAGTTCCACGTCCTCCTTAGATATTGCGACTCTGCAGCCGTCACCGCCGCTACAAGATTAGAAGGGATTTCAGGTAGACCAGCTACTTCCGCGACAATGTTGATGAGGCTCCTTGCAGGAATTATCGGAGACTCGATGCGTTCCGGGTTCATCGCTAAGGCGAAGTGGCGCAAAATCGATCTGATTGCTTTCTTGTAGAAAGAGCTGTCTTGGACCTTTTGTATTATGGATTGGATTGCGTATTGAAGCTGTTCGGAGGAGGATGGTCTTGGGGTCGCTGTAAAGTGTAGTTCTCCTCGTTCAGGCTGCTCCGTGCATTGCAGCGAGAGGAAGGGAAGAAATTCCACCAAGAGACCGGTTAAATCGCAGGGAAATCCTCTGTGTGAATATTCTTTCGGTAGATCCAAAGATAGATCCAGACTTGTTGAAAAGTTACCCTGGTTTGTCCGACAATCTCAAGTACGCAGCAAGCCAATGCTTGAGCCACGCGAAAACTGCTTTCACCAAAGGGCACCCACTTCTCAGGAAGGAGCCACTCGAGCACAAGGGAGTTTTTCTTTATGTATGAGCCAAGTTTGTCTAATGCAAGGTGGATGGATCTGCGTGTGGTGCCGCACTCGTAAAGGTGCTCTATGGTGTAACCTTGACAGAAATTCATGTACTTGTCTACCATTTCAAAGCATTGACCGAGCCTGTTCCTGCTTAGGACCAAAGCATTAGACCCAAAATAAGCCATGTACTTGTATGATTTGGATACACTGCTAGTCAAGCCTGCGACGTTGATGGTATTATAATGACGCTACAAGGTTTCGAGGTACTTCTAAAGTTTAGTATCTTCCAGATGTCGGGGACCGTAGTACGGTCGCAGCCTTTTTTGAGCACCTCGAAGTACTTCGCACGCAACTTGGATTTGAAGCGGAGTTTGGGCACATCTCGCCCAGTTTATCGCACTGAGAACCATCTGTGGGTGATAAGTGTTGTGGTCGGACTTGATATATGAGGAGGTACAAGTCAAACGTTTCAGAAAATGCTCCGAGGACAAAAAAATAGTGGCTGCGTGATTCAGCTTTGTAATGTCATTCAAGCTGTGGTAGTGGATTCCCATAGTAGCCGAGTAGATGTCGAAAGCTGGGCTTGTTGGCCGATATACCGGGGGATCTGGTAGAGAGATATTTCCACGGCTCGCCATTGATGACCAGATTTCGGTTTCCGTCTCGGTCTCCGTATCGGGCCTGGAGTTAGAATGGGAGAAAAAAAGTCTATTAATTGATTGGGGTTGGAATATGACAGGGTATGGCTTCCAGGTTCTGCTTTCTCGGTAGCGGGTTGATTGAGTTTCGATGATGTGACCATGTCGTCGAAAATGGACGGTCTTGAGTTGCCATCGCTATCAGAAAGCTCAGCACCGACCATTGATACATCCGACGCATACAGCTCGGGCGACGCAGGAGCTCGGATTGCGTTTGTGGGACTTGTGGGCCTTTGCAATATTTCTGGTCTCGTTTTGGTAGAAGATATGTCGGCACAGCTGCAGCTGGTGGTCGTCATGGCATTGTTTCGCTGCAATGGTGATATTACAGAGCTCGACAACGCATCGCTACTATGGGCATCAAGGTTCGAGTTGCGATGTTGCTTTTTGTAGAAACTGATGTCATGCTCCTCCAGCAATCCGTCAAGCCGCGCGAGAGTAACCGGTCTACCAACCGAAGCTTGGCCCTCAAGTTGCATGTCATGTCGACTGGCACCTTCTTCTTGAAGCATGTGAAGTCTAGGACCGTGCATCGTCCTCTCCGCTTTCGACAGTTTTGCATTATAGCAGGAAGAATTTGGAACCTCGACAATAAATTTTGCCCAAGGCTGAAGGGACGAGGCTGGTCGAGCCATAGCTGATCAGGGTAGAAATTTCTGCGATAAATATTCAAGTTACTCGGCTGTCCCACGCAGACGGCTGTCAACCGTGGCGAGAGGAAATCAGATGGAGAACGAAGTATCTTAAAGGATTTTTTGTAAGTTGGAGACATCAGCTCGCGGTGCGACCTAGGTAGACTGCTGGATCAGAGCCAGAATCATGAGTTCCAAATCAGGACTAGTCAAGGAACAAAGGGGAAAGAACATCCAACCAAACCAATGGAAGGACATTGTGGATAGGGTGCAGCGGGGCTGCCGTTTCTCTCTCGGAAATGTGGCACAGCCCCTGAACCTCCAAAGCCTTGTCAGGCCGCCCGCCAGCGCAACAAGGCTATTCCTACTATGCTAACTGAAACACTCTTTTCGATCTGCCGGACTCGGATAGTGGTATTCCTCCCTCCCTCGAACTGACTACATATTTAACCATGCAAAGCCTTCAACAGAAATCTGGGCGTGCTCAGACCGAAAGTTTGGCGCATGTCCATTGATTAAAATTCTGTAAGAACGCTGATTGTCCACTACAGGAGGATCTGCCAAATACTTCCTCTACTGTCTCAGTGTTCCTGACGATAGAAAGCCACCCTGGTGTGGTCAACGGCCATGTGACTTCTATGAACGCTTGCATCAAAGTTGGGCGAGGTCAAGCTCTGTTTCTCGTCAAGGGTACTAATGTGTCGTCAGCAGGTGCCTGGTTGGGAGTCACTAGATTTCTCACGAAACATTCGGATCACGCTGGTGGCAGAAACCCATAACACAATATTCTCACTCTTTGTATCACTAGACCAGCGACTCCTGAATTTGTAGAAACTGCTGCGTAACCTGCAATTTTTGAGGAGACTCGCTGTTCTGTCACACCTCACGAGTTCCATCACTCGTTTTAGTATCATGCTACAGGCAGAGGCTGCTTAGCTCTCAGGGAACGTTCCGTATTTCCTCTTAAGCGTCTCAGTTTAAGATGACACTGGAAAGGTTAGAATCGGGTTGAGGTGGAAAATATTAGTACCAGCAAGCGTGGCGTCGATATAAAAGGCTTAATATAGGGCTAATCGGATCTGCGGATCACGGATGAATGTTTGAAGGCCGCGCGTACGGGGGCCTTTTTCGGACTCCTCTTCGACGGTGGACACCTGAACTCGAGTCCGCTCAGACAGCCCATACGAATAGCAAGGTGGCATGAACCCCTCATTTTACCATTTGTGAGCAACTTTTCCTCTTTTTGATACTGGGTGGGTGGTCGTCACCAAGATTCGCTCAGCTAACCAATTGTAAGCGGCATTGTCCAGGACCTCATTGATGATCGGTGATTTACTGGAATGCCTTTGTTCGAACGGCACGCAAATCAACAAGCAGTATCTGCATGCATAAGTGCGAGATCACGGTCGCAGATGATGATCCCTGGTTCCGATCGTAATTGGAAATTGCACGGGATAAAGCTTTCCCAGAGACTTTAGCGCTGCATATCGGACCAGCTATGGAAAATCGAAAAGCTTTCTCAGGCAGAGAGCGAGAGACCTGATGTTTTCATCCAGTATACGTTTCCGCGAAAGCATAATACCTTCTTCCATTTCAAATATTGCTGACTACGCTATAATGATGTATCCTAGCCGTTCAGTTAAAAAAAAGTCTTGTTTGCAGCCTGTCATGAGGTGAGGCACACAGTAACGGGAATGGAGAAGTTGGACTCTTTGTTCCGGGTACTTTCGCGGCTTTTCTTTATGGTAGAGGTCTCCTCAATCAGACTCCAGCACTTAGGGACTCGTGGCCGCGCAGATATTCCAAAATTCTAATTTCGCTGTCAGCTGGCCAGTGATAGGAGGTTGTGAAATCTGGCCTTGTCACACACCAGCAACGGCTTCCACCCTAGCCCAATCTCAAGGAGCGGTAACAGGAGCTGTGGGAAAGTCCGGACTTTAGTCTAGGAGCGATGATATAATCTGACTCGACCAGCGACATCAATAAATAATAGTAAAGTAGATGGCCAGAAGTGTCTGTTCAAACAAATCGTGAGCAGCATGATTAGATGCGCTTGTGACCTGAGGAAAATACACCAACAAATAATTACCTCAACGTTTCTGCCTCGTCAGTCCCATCCAGGGAACCGCCCCCATCTATTACCTCCGCATAGGTGGTGGCGGTGTCGGTAGCAATGCAGACTGCTGGGTGCCTCAAAGCCGTAGATACGAGAGAAGTAGTGCCAAACAGATATCACTACAATATTAAAAGAAATCGGAAATAGAGGACAAGGACGATAGCCGCCTGGAGTGGGTGCTCAGGCTGAGCTCCCCGTCGCGATGCCAAGGACGGGGACTCGAGGCATAAAACTGGAGCTCTTCTCATGGAGGAGTTTTAACGTTCTAGAAGGAACGATTAGTAGTCCTCGAGACTTAGATCTCGACGTGCAACCGTGGAGGTTCCGAAGTCGATGGTGAGCAACCTTGAAGCGCGACACAAGAAACTTTGGCTGATATTTGGATCTAGCCTGAATAGGAAGGAGCGCGTCGCGTCGCGGTTTTAAATCTAATATCCGTCTGCGCCCTCCATCATTCAGTGCCGTGTTCATGCCAACATGTTCCCTCACCCCCCGCGTATAGCTTGCAACGCTCTCTAATCCCTTGCGCACGACTTCTGAAGCCCCTCCTTGCTGCCAAACTCCGTATATTCCACCCCATCTCACACAGCGTCACAGAGCTAACCTCCGGTCCCAATCGCTTTGTCCACCACCCTCTCGCTCCCTGAAGGGTTTTTATACAGTTCAACCTCCCCTGAGTTTCCCGTCACAAATCGAGTTCTTTGAACCGTTGTCATCTGCCTTCCGGACCGCTCGAGCCTCCTGGCACGGTCTCATTAAGAGCAACCTGGATTCCGGGTGACAATATGGATGCGTGTCGGAACCTAACCCTAAGACGTTTGTCGGTTCAAGTTTCGCGGTCCAGTTGTCGAGTCTCTTAGTAACTTCATTTGCCTCATGTTTATTATCTGCTCCGGCAAAGAACAACATGTTGGATTAAATGCGGCCAAAAGAGAATACGACGTTCAGAGCCTTCCTGGAGGGCGGTGAAAGACGGTTTAGCCATGCGTCAAGTTGGTAAGCGTCCCTGAGGGATCGCGCGTCGGCAATCCAACGCTGAACATTATACGTGATCATATATGGGATGTTCTGGTCGATATGGGCGTGAGACAATGATCAAGAGAGAGCGGAGATGATGACTTTCTGGGGACTGGCGCGCGGAGGTCTATGCCCAGAGCACAAAGATATTTTGGCCTACATACAAAGATTGCTGGGAGTCTTTTCGGAAGCCAATGAGATCCTCTGGCCGGAATCCGGGCTGAATGTTGCTTGGTGCCAGGTCTCGGAAGCGACTGGAAAGATTCCATCTCAGCATATCTTCCGACCCGGCACTTTGTCCGTTCCGGCCGGCTATGACCAATACAGAATCCCAGCAAACGTCAAGTCAGCATTGGATGCCACTCCTCTCCAACTCTGTTCTTGTTCTCACAGTGGTCTACGCTATAACAGCTCATTCACCAAACGCGCATCGAGGCACCAGCCATTTAATGTGTACTTCTTTCGAAGATCCCGATCAGCCGCGTTAGTCATCCGCATCATGCCCCGCATGGTGAAATGGAGAGCGCCGATTCCGTGCGTCCTTGGTTTTTTGGAACCTCTGGGCTCATGATGTACCTTGCTTTCGAGCGAGAAGAGGACGGTTTTTGAAGATGTTATTTGTGCGTCCTGGCCTGAGATATGGCGAATGTCCTTCGATTAGTCTCCTTTGGGACATCAGAGAAGAGAAAACGAAAATCTTGTCTTCGAGGCTGCTGTATCACACACGAGAGAGGCATTTATCCTGTTTTGACAGGGCATGGACATTGCGTTTAGACTGGAATCTGTCCGCCGCGTGAGAAGGAGTGTGGGATACATCGTGGGCGACAAGATGAATTCGGAGGGATGACTGCGAATGCGGATGGTAGGAGCTCGACTCTGCACTCTTGCGAGCATATACACAACAATAACTCTGCTTTCTTGCTTGTGCACCAAGACCTGTACCAAGCAAACTGCATCTCGCCGCAAAATCTCAACTTCCGCTTGGATCCACGCTACGATTTTGTTGCAACGGGTCTGCGGAAGCCTAGTCGCCTGAGTTACAGATGAGTCCTGCAAAGTCACCAAAACGTCCAAGCGGGAAATCCTATAGCGCAACAGCTGCATCAGACTTGAAGCAGTAGGGCCTTTGGAGATGAGCAGGATCACCAAGTGTACAAGACAGGACCTCTCTCGAGTGAGGATCAAAGCTTTGGCTTGTCTGTTCTTAACATTTGCTGTTTGTCGACACTGTCCCAACCTGCTCTTGGCTTGTGTGGAGTTCTCTGTCAGGAGTCCTGCTTTTGGTGGCCATGATGGACATATCTTGCTGAGGTTGCGAGGATGACTTTTCGGTGCGCTCAATGTGACGGATCACATGTGGGAGTTGAGCAGCTTGCAGCGATGGTTGCGGATCGCATATCGATACAGATGCTTTGGGCTTTTGCACGGAGGCGCCATATCTCCCTGCTGTTCCTGGATGCTTTCATGGTCCTTGGACAGCGGGACATACTTTTCATAAGTCTCCCCATTCCCCCTCGTACCTGCAAGAGCTAATGTGTAGCAGGTTAAGGTCGCTAGAGCTGCCGGGTGAGAGGTCTCACTCATGATGGCAAGCTACTGAGATGGTTCTCCGGACTACGACGCTTTGTGCAGTGGGGACTCGAACAGGTGTTAAGGAGTTACTCCGAATTATGTTCCATGTCCTAAGGGCAATCCCTCGTTGCTCACTTCCATGCTGTTGAGTTTCTTCACCCTCCCTAGCTGGCCGTTTGTTGTATCTCTTCGTTTCTCGTGGGTATCGCTCGACTCATCCCCTTCTGAAGAACATTTCACACAAAATGCTTCTCTCAATTCTCTATACTTGATTGGTTTCTTAGTCCTTAAGAGATCTTTCTCTCCATTTCTCACATCCGCGTTGTGTCATATCCTTTCTTCGCAGTCCACAATCCTCATCAGTTGTGCCAACCACATCACTGCTGCCGGTGCCTCCATGAAATAACAAAACAGCCGAAGAAAAAAAATCAACCACCCAGCACTTGCATCATTCATACGCCCTTTTCGCTCGCCGCTGGAACTTTCATTTTCTCCATCTGTCCCAGTAATATCTTTTCACCACGGAACGACCTTCCTTTAGCCAGCCGTCCCTTACACTTCAGAACTCTTGCGCACCTATTATTACATCCCCTGCCAATTGTTGCGTTGTATCTTTGTCGAAAAGTAAGCTGTTGCTTGTGACAATGCTCCGAGCAAGGCGACCTAAGACTCCATTCAATCTCTGACGCGCTGCCGTCGTCGCTAAGCAAAGTCCAAGAGAAGTCGCCATCACACGGTGCGGCTGCTGCGTCGGCTGGCTTGCGAATGAGCTGTATTGATTTGGGGTTGAGAACGAGAGAGAGGGAAGGAGGGGGGGAGGGGGAGAGGTTGGAGAAACTGAAAGGGAGCTGAGCTGTGATCAACGCATGCGACCCTAATTCTGTGAAGCTATGTACATTGATTATATCAGGAAGCCAGTTTATCGCCATCCCCCTGATTTCTGCATATTCTTTCGAGACGCAACGTGGGTGGCTTGTTGCACGCTTTTTTCAGCCAGCGTATGTATGTTCAAAGGGAATTCTTTCCAGCAGATGGAGTAAGAGATCGTTTGTGATCGAATTATTTCCAAGAGACAACTTTTAAATGCTTATAAGGGCTTTATTCTAGCTAATGAATCATTCTTGGACGAGTCCATCATAGCGATACCAATACAAGCAGGTAATTATGAGGTATTGCACTTGGCCATGCCTACTTCGGGACCAACGAAGATATTCAAACGAAGAGCGCCACCCTTCGCTCCCTTCTCTTTCAATGTTCATTCTATGCCGGTAAATGGGTGATCTGACTCCCTACCCCTTCAGAATTGACTGTGTTCGCGCAGATTTCATCCTGTTGGAGGCCCTCAGGCTCATTTCGAACCCTGGCCCGCGGGCTAGCATCAATTCCAGCCTACTCACATCAGCGGTGGCACTGGCACTGACGTCGCTGTTAATGCCCACCGCCGTCTCGGCAACGCCAGAGGCGGACTCCGGCTTGTTGCCTCTGCTTCTCTTTTTGACGTTCGCCTCGGTAAAGATGTGAGGAGTAGCGGAATCGACATCCATTCATTTGGCCTACTCAATCGTTGTCTCCAAGGAGGCTACGGAATCCAGTCTCTCTTTCACACTCTGGCCGTGTCGGCCAAAGTATGCATCAGACCCTTCTCTGTTGGTGTCACTGTCGGTTTCGGCAGAGAGGCGGCCTCGTTCGGGCGGTGCATCGAGTTCACTTCTAGTGTGTATATGTTGGCCCATAACGACGTCCCGGCACACTTCTGTTGCAAGGTCACGGCTGCATCGTCTTGCCATGCCCTAGTTTAGACGTCGCCAAGGGTTTGATCAGCCTCGTTTTCCGCTGCTGTTCCGACGGGTAAAGTGTTGAGGATGTTCTTATTGCTGGATCCTGCAGGTAATGGTCGCCGCAATACTTAAGAACAAGAGGGAGTTGGTGTATTAAAGAGGATGGGGGCGTTACTGGTAAGCTATAGGTCTTATTTGTATAGGAATAGTTCGTTAAGTTGAAGTGTAAGGAGTTGATATGGCGACCTTTAACGTAGATAAGCTGCGTTGGTTGGAAAGACCATGAGGGGTGTCCTGAGTTGCCGTTAGTTTCATGCTCGAACATAGAGCGCCAGGACCTCAGTAGTTAAGTTAAAAGCGGGAAAGGTTCTTGCCAAGTCAATAAGACGCAATATATAGGTCCTCATACTAGAAAAAGAAAGTGATAAACTTTTCCAGAAACTTTGTCACTCTAGTCTCCACCAGATAAGGAGGGTGAATAGAGGCTGAAAGTCCTCAGCCTCCCAGTACATAAGTAGAGCCTCTCCCGGGCATTTTCCTTTTTTGGCAGGGCTGTGTGCACTTTTCAACATCGGTAGAGCGGCGTCGCTCTTCAACTCTTCTTCCACTTCGTCTTGGTTGGCAACGCCGGAGATGGCACAGTCAACTAAATCAGTATTAGGGAAGAGAAAGGCGCCAGAGCTTGAAAGAACACATACGACAACGCCGATCGTGGCGAAGACGCCGCCGGTCCCACAGATGGTAGCACCACCATCGAACAACAGCACTGCAGCATCCATCATTTCTGACCGAAGTCGCCAATCTTCAAAAGTGACGTCCACTTTTGTCACAGCCGAATGCCAGAGCGTGATACAGAAGATATATAGTCGGGAACTGGGTTCATGGTGTTATCTTTTGTTCCAGCAGGGTGATATTTCTCACTCGGCGCTGTCTGATGAAGGGAGACACTTCATAGAGGCAACTCAGTCCAAGAAATTAGTAGTTGAGAAGAGCTCGCTATTGGGAGCCTGGCATGGGAGAATGAGATTTGAGATCTGGCCAACGAGTTCGAAGAGTTTAGCGAGCTGTCACTATCGATGTGTTTGGCAGATACCCATGACAGGCCTCCAGATTTTGCAGGAGAAGAGCACAGACGATGGCGAGGATCTGGGAGACTCGGGATATGCCTCGGTTGATGTCGGAGATGGTGAAGGCGATGACGCCATAGAGGAGGAACGGAACGACAATAAGGGGAGAGAGTCTAGCCGGCAGAACCAGGAGAAGGAAGGAGCAGAGAAACAAGACAATGTCGACGATGAAGACGTGTCGTGTCTCTTGCGCGTGTTCCCTATCGCCTTTGAAGTCATCTTCTGGAGCCATCACTTGCTGAGAGGGAACTATCATACCAAATGCACCGAAAGCGAATCCGAGTACCGCATTGGGTGGGAATTCGAGCTGAACGCTGCCGAAATTGCAACTGGAAGAGCCGGACGACAAAGAACCCAAGGTGGTGATCCGTTACAAGAAGGTGTGCTGGGCAGCAGGCGGGAACAGCAATTGCTACAGTTACTGGACGATGTGGTCGGGCGGCGTCCATTTTAAGTCAACAATATGCAAAACACAACACAAAGTTTTCTCTTTGTATCTGAATAGAGAATGGTGGATAAGGACATTGGGGCGAGCGGGGTGATGGCGAGGCGGAATGGGGAGGAAAAAAACCAATAGTTATACAGGGTACTCGTACTCGTACAGACGGCGTCCCCCTTTCTATCCGCAGCCTTGCATATCCCCAACAGCCACCCTACCAAACTCAACGCGCGGACCCCACTGGCCCAATGTTGGACGCTGGACCCAGCAGCAAATTAGGGGAATTGAGCCTTACTGGCCAGGAGTCGATATTTCCTTTGGTTATTTTCTCGACATAGGGTGTAGCATGTAAACATAGTAACCCATTAGACTCTTCTAAAGGTCCTCGTGCATAGCAGTCCATCACGAATCCCCACAATAAGCATCAACCACTAGGAATTTTTCTTCCGTTCCATCGGTTAGTTCATAATTTCTTTGTTCGCGACTATTACGCAGCCCATTGTGGCTTCCAGCTTATTCGTTTGCTCTAGCCATTATCAAGTAGAGAAATTTTTTGTTATTGTGACAAATAAAAAGCGGGAACGATGTCTTCTCCGAATGAACCACAGGATGTCTCAGCAAGCCAGCACATGAGCCGAACCCTGTACTTGACAAAGTCTTCGACAGACGGATACCAGACTGGTTTTCTTTCTGGTTTGCTCTGTAACTGGGCACCAAACAATGCCAGACACCTTGGTTCGCAATGACCCGAAGAGTTTTGTTCCGGCGGTCTGTACAAGTTGCTTGGGAGCTTGAGAGCGTCCAAAAAGGGCGACCTACCATGGAGGGCGATATAAATAAACACTGGGGAATCGCCAGCTTAAGCCGCTCGATCATCTTTGTTCTACACGCAAAAGACTCCGTTAACAAGACAATACCCGTTTCTCTTCCAAACCAGGTTCCCCTATTATACGTCATCCCGTTACATTATGATATCAACAGCGTCCTCTTCAGTAAACATAATGGCTCCTCGAGAATCCATCAAGGGCAAAGGCAAGAGCCCGGCCAGAACACCATCAGCGACCTATCCGCCAAAAATGATCACTCAACTCAACAGCTCAGAGATCAATCTCGATCTCAAGGCCATAAAGTTGGGACATACACTAGCGGACAAGAGAGGAAGGATCGAAAAGCCCACAAAGGACAGGATAGCCTTGACAATGGAAAACATTGCGTTACGGAGAAGCGCAGTCATAGGGGAGCTCGCTCACGAGAGAAGATGGTGGGGACTGGATCCCAAAAGCACGCTGTCGATGCCATGCTCTTCAACTTCAGAGGTTACCTCCAAGTTCAAGGACATCTCGCGACTCCTAGCATCCTTTCCAGAATCAAATATAAGGCTGGCGGTCGATACGGACTTAACATCATCCGACAACAGGAGCCAAGTCAAGCGACAGCAAGTTGAAGATCTTTTCCCGGAACGTACGGAAGCTGTCTGCAAAGGTGAAGTCTCCGCCCTCATGCGGGCGATTGAATTCAAGGGAAATCCAGTCAAAGCATGCCCATTTCTTGAGGCCGTTGGACACGGAGGAGGGGACGCACTTAGGACGCTTCCTTATCCTCTGAACAACAGGAGATTCCTGAGGCACTATGTCGCGCCATTATTTGAGCTAGAGATAGGCTATCTGCATTGTGAGAAAGGGTTTCTGACGCAAAGTCCCGCCGTGGAACAACTCAAGAAAAGGCTCCTCGATCGGTTAGACAATTGTGAGCAGATTGCGATCAAGGTGATCGCCGTGATCGACGCCATGGATAAGCAATGGGAGGCATTGCTGGCCGCCGAGGGCTCAGACAGTACGGATTTCTTTCTTTGCAGGAAGGCCTACAGCCGATTAGAAAAAAGGGTGCAGACTGAGGCCCCGAAACATAGAAAGTGCCCGTACTGGGCATATACTCAGCAAGTGGCACTGTTACGCGCGGTGAAGCGGGTCGAGGAGCAGTTGGGCAAGAAACCGATGCTGGCAGAAAACCTCCCTGAGCCAGTTACAACGACAGATCACCACCCCCGGCTTTTGGCCGAAGCCCTCTGAAGCTGACGTAAAGTAATGGGCGTGAGGAATACCTGTGAGGGACTGCAGAGGTTACAGTCCGGATGATTGAGGACCTTGGAGATCACTTGCATCTCTGGTGAGGTGCAAATATAACGGTATTTGCCAATATGGCAATAGGGACTTTAAAGGAGCAGACTGAGTCCGTGTCTCCGCCAGAGAATCGGATCGCCTACACCGAGTAGTTGGATCAGGAGATATGCATTGGTGATTTTGTACATAGATATGATGTTTCACATCGGGTATAAAAGGCGAGCGCACACCAACCGACTCGCGTTGGGATCAAATTTCAGACTGACTCCTTCGAAGCCGCAGGGCAGGATAATCGGCAGTGATGTTCTGGTTTCCGTCGCTCACACAAGGGGCCCAAGAGGTGTAACGGTCGAAGTACATGACTAATTTCAGTCAGTCAATGCATAGGAGGGAAAAAGAGCCCGACCTGCTCTCGCAAGTCTGGATTCTCCTTTTCGGTCCCCGCTGGTCACTCCTATTCCAGCAAGCATCAACACTTCCAGACTCCAACTTCACCATTCCTCCTTCCCTCGATCAGATATCCATCTTTCAGTCTGACACGATCAACAATACTCGTCTTAGTGCCGGCCATCCGATCTTCAACACTGGTGTTAGCCCCAACGCCACAGTCCCAATGACGCCCATCGGCCTTGTCGTAGACTTTGACGACGTCCTCGCCTGCGGCACAGACAATGTGCCGAGCATCAAACATCATGCTCGTGATGGGCGCATCGTAAGCATAGGCATCGAAAATGGTTCCTGTGCGGAGATCCCATATCTGTCGTCCACGTTAGTCTATCAACTGATTGAATACTGAAACTCATCGACTGACTCTGACACTCCTGTCAGTGCTGCCTGTAACGAGGTGAGTATCGTCAAACTGCAGGCATGTCACTGGGCCCGTATGCCCTACTAGGCTCCTATGGACTTGTCCGCTTCTAAGATCCCATAGTCGGACCATTCCATCAGCTGTGCCGCACGCCAGCGCTGCGTCGAAACATTGCAGAGCGCCAACAAAATCGGCGTTTGAATCTGTAGATCTTCCGGTCGGCCGCCACTGGGTGTCTGTGCTGTTGATAGTTGAGCTAGCTTGGGCTGCAGCCCACAAGACGTCCAGTGTCTGCACACATCGCCCTTTCACCAAGTCCCATTGCCGTAGTGTCTTGTCAGCTGATCCAGAAACCAACATATCACCGCGCAGGTGTAATGCTGTAATTTCATCGACGTGAGCTTCAAGCACAAAGAGTGGGCACTCTTCCATTGCATCAGGAGGTGGAGGAGGGGGAGCATCTTCGCTTTCATTTCCAAACCCGAGGCCGTCGTCTTCATCACCCTTGTCGTCTTCACCGTTTTCGAGTATCTTGTGCTCGTAGGGTTCGTAGTTGGCACGGCTCAAATCCCACAGTCGAATAGTGGCATCAAGGCTGCCTGTTGCGACGATGTTGTCTTCTACTTGTAGACACCGAACCGATGCGGTGTGGCCTTCCAAGAAGCCCATGCAGCGGCCAAGGTTCAGGTCCCAAACGCGAACCGTGTCATCCAATGCTGCAGTGACCATTGTCCCGAATGGTTGATCAAAATCTACGGCGGATATGGAGTCATTGTGAGCAGGAATGGTTTTGATGTGGGATCCAGGTTCGAGGTGCTCATGCAACACCGGCACAGATCTTCTCTTGGAGTATTTCGGCCGGCGTTTTGACTTCGGGGACGCAGAGGAGGGCAATTTGTCGTAGATGGACTGGGACATGAAGGACGCATCCATTGCCTCAGATTCCGGTGTAGCTACCCGGGGAGCATTGAGGGTGCTGGTCGACTGATCCAACCCGCCTTGCTCCTCGAGCTCCTCCTGCATCTCTTCGATCTTGTTGTCAAGTTCCAGCAGCTCATGCTCAACCTCCGCTTCGTCATTTTCGAGGTCGGCCAACCGGTCAAGGGCGAGCCTGCGCATATTTTGTAGATTGGCGATTTTGTTGTCAATGTCCCGAATCTCTGTAGTACACATATTCTTCCGTATAGCCATCATCTCCAATCTGTGGTTGACATTGTTCCTTTTCTTCTTGAGGTTTTGTATTGACGGAGGACCATCCTCTTCAACATCGCCAGCGCCCAACAATCTGTGCTGCTTGGAGCTCCGCCGTCGGTGTCCTTTACGATGCTCAGTTTCCCCTTCAGGCAAAGACGCCTGAAAGCCTTGAAACAACGAATAGGTGTTTTGGTCTTCGGGAATGTTTTGCAGCTGGTCTTCGGAAATGTAGGTGAGGGCTCGATGGGCGATCTCACTAGTCGAGAGTTTCGCCCTGACGAGCTCAGAAGGTGCCTGTTGGGAAAAGGAGAACACGGCTCTCTGAATGCCAGGGCGCCGCATCTGTCGGGAGATGCTGTTCATGGCGGCAGGATAGTGAGCGGAAGAATTATCGCCCATGAGGTGGCTTGCGGTCGCTGTCACCTTTCGACCAAAGGCTTCCAGCTGGCGCGTCTATCAACACAAAATCAGTCTGCTGCGGCAGCAATGGGTAGAGTCTCTCACGTCAAGGACCGCGCCGAGAACAGAATCTTCCCCATCTCCAGCTGGTCTGCGCGTTTGGGAGGGAGCACGACTATGTGGCCGCGATCCGGCCATGCAGTTCGAGCGTCTCTGTGGTTGGAGGAGACTGCGCGCTTTACAATTTGAATAGACAGGAAGTACGGGGTAGAATGCACCCGAGCAGGCTGGATCCTGAGGCTCTACGGGGCTCGAGGGCTCTATCGTAAAATGCGGAGAGAAGATGCTACAGTAGCGCAGGCAAGCGAAAGCCTGTGGACTTGCGGTCTCGGGGACGCGAGGTCGGAGCTGCGCTCTGACGTATTTTTTCTCCCATGTCAAAACCGCACTGTGCCTTCGCCCACTGCGGATATCATCGCATATTGCTCGCCTTGCGTGCTTACTGGGAACAGGCCTTGTTTCTGACTCTTACCGCCGAGCTGCGACATATCTTTTCGACTTCCCTCTCCCCCAGTGATTTTCTTGCAGGAGTTCATTCTGGTATATTGCGCGACACCCGACCGCAACTGGTACGCGATCTAACACATGCCGCTTTTGGAGATGGATACAGCGATAGATCTGTCGGATGCCTCTAAGGCGTTGGATTTGGCTAATATTCGTTTTCAACTAATGTTTGTGGCCTGGAATCCCAGTTCCCAGAGACACGCTCGAATACTGACTGAAGTGCAGCCGCCTCGAGGATACTATCACTTTTCACCTGATCGAACGGGTCCAGTTTCCCCTCAATGCTACAATTTACGACGCTGGTGCCCTTCCCATACCTTCGAGTAACCTTGCATTACCTGCGCAAATATCTCTTTGCGACTATCTCCTCTCCGAAACGGAGCGTTTGCACTCTCTTGTCCGACGATATGACGCTCCGGACGAATATCCTTTCTTTCCCCAAGTCCTGCAGCGACCCATGCTCAAGGCCATAGCGTACCCCAAGATCCTCCACGATAACGATGTTAATGTTAATGACACCATCAAGGAGAAGTATATCAAGGAGGTTCTGCCAGAAGCTTGCCGAAAATTTGGGCGAGAAGATCGTGGTGAGGCCAAGGAAAATTACGGTAGTGCCGCAACTTGTGATGTTGCTTGTTTGCAGGCCTTGAGCAGGCGGATACATTTCGGTAAATTCGTGGCCGAGAGCAAATTCCAAGCTGAGACAGAGCGATTCGTGAAGCTCATTAAAGCCGAGGATCGCGAGGGGATCGATGCCGCCATCACTAATGAAAAGGTCGAGCAGCAAGTCCTGCAGAGGCTGCGGCTGAAAGCCAAAACTTATGGCAAAGACCCCTCTGTCACCTCCAACGGTGTCGGCGGAGAGGAGAAGATCAATGTCGAGGCGGTGGTGAAGATGTACGCTCAGGTTGTCATTCCTTTGACCAAGGTCGTCGAAGTAGAATATCTCATGCAGAGGCTCAAAGGGACACAGTGGGAATAAAAACAGATAGCTCTGCTCAAGACTGAGGCTTTAGGTATTCGGCCACATTTTGCACCGCGTCCTTGAACTTGTCTCCCGCAATGAGTATGGCATGTCCTTGCGGCTTGATCCCCAGTTCTTGAAACGCTCGTTTTGAGTCCGAGTGTCCCTCGTCCTGTTGAATAGAGTAATCAAACCCGCTATAGCAAATGGCATGTCTATGCAGCACCTCGTCCTCCGGGTGGAAATACATTGTCTCGAATGAATTAGATGCTGATTTCTTTTTTTTCTTTGGAGGGTCATCCTCAGCGTCAAGCTTCGAAGCAACTTCCGTGTATGTCTTGGAGAGGATGAGATAGTGAGAGAAGTTGTATGGCTCGCCGTCTTGGATTGCCCACTCCATCTCTTCCAACAGCATCGTGTACATTGGAGGGACAACTTCGGCAGGAACATTGATCAAACGCTCTGTAAGGATCATGCCTATTGGCGGAACGGTAGCCTGGGAAAGGAGCTCGGCAAGGGGAGCAAGCGTGGGTTTCGACTTTGCTTTGGACAATAAGTATTGCAGGATCTTGTTCATGAAGGGCTTTTCCTATGATTTTATGAGCGGGCATGCCCAGTGCTTCCTCCTCGCAGGCAACTCACCCGATGTTCTTGAAGATTCAAGACGGAAAGAAATGCGTATGCGTCCGTCTCATTGCCATCGACTTTGACAGTTGATCCCAGCGTGGGTTGCGACAATATAAGGTCAGTCAATGCAGACAAATCGAATAACTGAGCGTCCACGTCGAACAGCTGTTGTAGCAAGGTCTTGATACCGTGAAAATCGTACTCGGGCTGAGGGTCGAACCACTCGAAGTCGACATCAAGGACATCGAAATCCTGCGTCGAGAATCAGTAGTCAATCCATGCCCCTCTGGACCAACGGGACAGACCTCATCGTCTCCGCTGTCATTGCCCATATCTATGTCGACCTTTTCGCCAACATCCTGTTTCCTCTTGCTCATCTTTGCGGCAGTCCTGTTCTTCCGTCTTGTTGTCGGTCTGGCAAGTTTGGGGGGAGGAAGAGGTTCCGGGTCACCCGTGACTGCGCGCCTGGGGCACTTGCTTTTATGTGGTGTTGTGCGCAGAGGCTCTCTCCCTGGTACATTGAATCAGACCTGTCAATGCGTGCTACGATCGTTGGACAGAATTCTCTGCGAAATCGCTCAAGTTCGTCCTCCGCGCACACCATAATTGCGGTATCAAATTCTACTCAGCGGGGCGTTCCGCAGAATTTCCATCCCCACAAAAATTTCGCAGCCAGCCCACTGAAGCCCACTCTGTCGCAGCAGACTCATATTCCATCCATATCCCTATTTGCACGTCTTCCTCCTCTTTCTCTCGCGCCCATTCGACCTTGTCCCCCCAGTCAAAATGGCTGCCACCGTCAATGGCGAGGTCAATGGCGCCGCAGTCAACGTCCCTGCAAAGACCTTCGACACCATCCTCGTCCTCGACTTTGGGTAAGTCGGAAATTCCACTGCCCTTTCTCAAAGCGCGCCGACTCATGACCGGTGAAGATCGCAGTATTCGCACCTGATAACACGGCGACTGCGCGAACTCAACATCTATTCGGAGATGCTACCATGCACTCAGAAAATCGCCGACCTACACTTTCAACCAAAGGGCATCATTCTGTCGGGAGGTCCCTACTCTGTCTATGAGGATGGCGCACCCCATGTTGACCCTGCGGCATTCGACCTCGGCGTGCCCATTTTAGGGATATGCTACGGACTGCAAGAGATGGCTTGGAATTTTGGCAAAAACGTGTTGGCTGGCGAGAAGAGGGAGTATGGACACGCCAATCTCAAAATTGAGAGACACAGCGGCAAGGAGGAGCACATCGATCGCCTCTTCGAAGGTGTTGAAGACGACATCGAGGTCTGGATGAGTCACGGGGACAAGCTGTCAAAGCTACCCGACAATTTCCATCCGATTGCAAGTACAGCCAATGCCCCATTTGCGGGTATCGCTAGTATGTCTAGACCTTATTTCGGCATCCAATTCCACCCCGAAGTCACACATACGCCGCGAGGTACGCAGATTCTGAGCAACTTCGCTGTCAAGATCTGCCAGGCTCGGCAAGACTGGACCATGGAAAAGTTCGTCGACAAGGAAATCGAACGCATTCGAGCCATGGTTGGTACTAAAGGTCAAGTGATTGGCGCCGTGAGTGGCGGAGTTGATTCCACTGTTGCAGCAAAACTCATGCAAGAGGCTATCGGAGATCGGTTCCACGCGGTCTTGGTTGACAATGGTGTTCTTCGCCTGAACGAGGCAGAAACAGTCAAAGAGACATTGACGAAGCATCTGGGTATCAACCTGACGGTTGTTGACGCCTCGGACCTGTTCTTGGGGAGACTCAAAGGCGTCTCCGATCCTGAAACGAAGCGAAAAATTATTGGCAACACATTCATCGAAGTATTTCAGGACAAGGCAAAAGCGATCGCGAATGCTGCAGCAAACTCACCCCGGGCTGGCGACATAGAATGGTTGCTTCAAGGCACCCTTTATCCCGACGTGATTGAGAGCATTTCGTTTAAAGGACCATCCGCCACAATCAAGACACACCATAATGTTGGGGGTCTTTTGGAGAACATGCATCTCAAGCTGATTGAGCCTCTGAGAGAGCTGTTCAAAGATGAGGTGAGGGCATTGGGCACAAATTTGGGGATTCCTGAAGATCTCGTCTGGAGACATCCATTCCCCGGACCTGGCTTAGCAATTCGGATCCTTGGTGAGGTCAACGAATCACAGCTCAAGATCGCGCGACACGCAGATAAAATCTTCATCGATGAAATCGTCTCAGCTGGCTTGTATAGGAAAATCTCACAAGCATTTGCGGCGCTTCTCCCTGTCAAAGCTGTCGGCGTGATGGGTGACAAGAGGGTGCACGCTCAAGTGATTGCCTTGCGAGCAGTTGAGACGACTGATTTCATGACGGCTGATTGGTTTCCCTTTAGTGGTGAATTTCTCAAGCGGGTCAGCAACCGAATCGTCAATGAAGTTGACGGCGTATGCCGTGTCATGTATGACGTTACGAGCAAGCCACCTGGTACGATCGAAATGGAATAGGGGAGGGAGGGTGCCGAGAGTAACTCAGTAGTGTTTAAGTAGTACAGGAATGGCAGGACTGGTAGAGCCCTGGGGAGCCCGCTCGGCCATGTGGCTTTGGAGGGGTTCTGAAAGTATGTGGGTAGGTATCAGCTTCGAGCATCTAGCTGATGTAGTCCGGCCGGCCTTCGAGTCCACGAGCTTTTGCATGTGGCCTTAGAAAATGGCATAGAGAATAGATTCACACCTGCAAAGGAATTTCACCTCGAGAGTGCAATTTCCATATATCAAAATGACGAGGGCGGCATCGAAATCTTGGCGGAATACAGTTGGCTTGCCTCAA